GAACAGCGGAAACCCTAAGCAAAGGTCCAAACTTTAACTTTCAATCTCCCAAATTCTGAGATTTTTGTTAAAATCTAGGGTTTGATGGAGAATTTTGGGATTTGGGCTTGTTGGAAGATTAGATCACTGAAACTATAGAATATGGGATTTGGGCTTATTGGAAGATTAGATCACTGAAACTAGAGGATTTTAGATTGGTTGAAGAATTGGGTGTGTGGTGGATTATTATTTGAACAATTAAAATTTAAGAGACTTATTATGCATCCTCTCTTTGATGTTTATTGTTTGTGATTATATCGTCTATTTTTGCATTACTTGATTGATTTCTTGTTGATAGTTAAGCTAAGAAGGCTTGGATTAGGGAGCCCGATCACTAACAGAAAGGGATTTGTGACTCGAGTAATTAAACAAGAGTAATTCGTAGTTACGTGCTAGAGGAAATAGTGGTTAATGTTGTAGAAGAAGCATGGCGTGCTCTCGGCATCCGACAGTCCTCGGGTCAGTTCCATGGCGTGCTCAATCTCGGCCTCGTCGTGACCCCGTACATACTGGGGAGGATACTATTCTACGAAGGACATAGGATGATAATAATAATAATAAGAAAGATGATGATAATAATAAGAAGAAAGATGAACCCTTTAAGTTGATTTCTTAAGATGATGATAATAAGAACATGTAGATTTTTGCGTTTGTTAATAATGCATGAGGTTGGTTTTGTGTAACGAGTTACAAATCAATGAAAATTTGAGATAATCCCCTTTTACGTTTGTGCCATATATGTGATATTTGGTATTCTGTGTGACTTATGCTGCTGTTATGTGATATTTTGAGTGATATATTCTGCTGTTATGTGACATTTTGCTATTCTGTGTGACTTATGTTACTGTTATGTGATATTTTGGTATTCTGTGTGACATATGCTATTTTTATGTGATGTTTTGTGTGATATATGCTGTTGTTATGTGATATTTTTACATTCTATGTGATATATTCTCATTAGTAGTTATATATGCTGCAGTTTAAGTGTTATGTGATATTTTTACAGATATGATTGTGGCATACATGCATATTTTTTCATCAAGACGATCCTAGAGGGAAGGGAGACAATGAATATTGAAGCCTTGCAAAGGGAGTCTGAGATGTTAGGAGTAGGACTTGCTGCTCAAATCATATGCGAATGTGGTGAATGGAAGAAGTTGCGATTGAAGTTAGATGTTGGCGATCCAGAATATCTTTTGTACTTTGGGGGTAATAATGTACGATTGATTGAGTGAAAATATTAGACAAACACATGTAACTATTTCATTTGTTGGATGTTGGATGTTTACTAGTTGTTTGTAAATGATAAAATGTGCATTTGTAATTTCTTGGTGATCTTTCTGGATGTGTACTTCATCTGTGGGTTAGGACTGTAATTTCTTGTACCATTCTAGATGTGTACTTCATATGTGTGTCAAACAATAATTAACTAAAAAGTACAGCCAAGTGTCACATATAAATGACAATTGTCACAAACAACAACAAAATATCACAGAGCACATATAAGAGTCACATATAATAGAGTATTACCACTTCAATTTATAATTCTCAACAAGATGAAATACACATCTAGAATGGTACGCATCTAGAAATATATATTTTAGATGAAGTACATATCTAACGTTCATATATAATACGTTAACGTCACATATGAGGTACGTTAACGTCACATATGAGGTCTCAATGTCACATGTAATACTCAAAAGTCACAAATCTAAATATCACATATAAGGTAGAACTGGCACATGTAGGATTGAATTGTCACATATAACATTGAAATATCACATCAAATAGAGTACAAAATTGAGTATATGTGTGGGCTTAGATTGGCAATGAGGCAGATGTGTGGGCTTAGATTGGCAATGAGGCAGATGTGTGTGCTTAGATTGGAGAGGAGGAGGAAGAGGTTGAGAAGCCTTGATGGAATCTCTTCCAATGTGATTATTAGTATAGTTGGTTTTGTGCAAATTTGTCGTTTGGACGGTTAACAGAGTTCATCGGTTTGTAAAATTTGATAAGGAAAATGGAAATCAACTTGTTTACTTTTGCTATAAAATTCTGTTTGTCCTTCATGTGACAAGCCATCTTAGAATTGCTCCAGGTGTCCTTTTATGGAAGTCAACTTGCTTATGTGACATATGATAGTTTCATGTGACATATGACGGTTTCATGTCACATATGTTGTTTTTATGTGACATTTGTTATTTATACGTGACATTTGGGTGTTATATGTGATATTTGGGTGTTGCTTGTGACATTTATTGTTTATACGTGACATTTGGGTGTTGTATGTGATAGGGCGTTGCTTGTGACATTTGCTGATTATACGTGACATTTGGGTGTTGTATGTGATATTTGGCTGTAATTTGTGATATTTGGGTGTTGCTTGTGATATTTATTGTTTATATGTGACATTTTGGTATTGTATGTGATATTTGGCTGTAATTTGTTGATAGTGAATGTGCTTATTTGTCACATGGCTGTAATTTGTTTATATGTGACACATGGCTGTAATTTGTTGTATGTGATATTTGGTTGTAATTTGTGATATTTGGGTGTTGCTTGTGATGTTTGTTGTTTATATGTGACATTTGGGTGTTGTATGTGATATTTGGCTATAGTTTGTTGATATTGAATGTGCTTATTTGTCACATGGTTGTAATTTGTTTATACGTAATACATGGCTGTAATTTGTTGTATGTGATATTTAGATCTAATAGTCATTCCACATCCTCCTTGCCTCATTGCCATGTGTCACGTATAAATAGATTCTCAAAAGTCACATATCTACCTCATTGCCTTCTCAACAAATCAGATCTTTTTCTTCTTCTTCTTTCTCCAAAATTGAGTACAAATCCTCTGTCATCTCTCCAAAATTGAGCTATTATTATATCAAAATTATCCCCCAAATGATTTCAACCCATCAAATAGAGTATAACTCTTCTTGAATCTGCTTGTTCTTCCCATTACCCTTCTTCTCCAAAAAGCTTCTAATAGTCATACTCTATTTGATGGGTCATGGAGAGCACTCTTGAAGTCTGACATTCTACAACTGAAAAGAGGTTAAATCACACTGTAATGTATAAATATCACATAACAGCAGCATATGTTATGGATAATGAGAATATATCACACATAATGTAAAAATGTCACATAACAACAGCATATGTCACACATGATACCAAAATGTCACAGGAAACAAGTATATGTGACATGCACGCAACATATGCCACACAGAATGCATAAACGTCACATAAAAACAGCATAAGTAACATGAAACCATCATATTTTACAAACAGATGAACTCTGTTAACCGTCCAAACTTCAAATTTGCACAAAACCAACAGTATTGTTAATTACAAAGAACAAATTAAGAGCATACAAGATTACAACAAATTAAGAGCATACAAGAGCATACAAGATTGCAAAGAACAAATTAAGAACATACAAGATTACAACAATATTGTCAATTTGCACAAAACCAGCCTTCCATTTCAAAAGAGATTCATCTTCAACCCCGAGCTCACCAGCTGGAAGCTCGATCCTCAGCCTCTGAATCTCCTTAACGTTCTTCAAAACCTCGGTCGGCGAGTGATACGAAACTTCCGACGAAACTAGAGAGCAAGACGACGACGAAGCTTCCATAGATCTCTTATTCAAGGTCTGACCTAGGGCTTGGATAGGATTGACGATGCCTCCAAGGATGAGACGAGTGAGATTCGAGATGACGCTGCTTATCTTATCGTCGTTGCCTCCTCCGACGACGGAAGGCAAGGGGTTATCGGAGATGACGCATAGGGGAGGGGAGGGGAGGAAGGGGAGGAGGCTAACGGAGTCGAGGAGGGGGTCAAGGAGGAGGGGAAGTGGGAGGAGGAGAGGATACAGATGAGGAGGGAGGAGGAGGGGAGGGGAGGAGGAGGACGGAGCTGAGGAGGGGTCGGGGAGGAGGGGAGGAGGAGAGGAGGAGGGGGAAGGTGGTGGAGGGAGAGGTTTTGGGCCAGATTAGGACTAGCTTGAGAAAGGAATTGGGTTTTAAATGGGAAAGAATGGTAAATTGGGAAGGGATTTCTTGGGCAGTGGGAGAAGGGGGTTGGTTGCACTAATATTTCAAATTAAGGGTTTGGGGGTTATAGTTTTGGGGCTGGGGAGGAGGATGCATGAGCTAACTATTTTTGGTTCCTCCAAGCAATTTTCTCTAAAAAAAATCTTGATAGCCAAAAGTAGTAACAAAATTGTATATTTCATTCTTTTAATGTTTTTCATAGAGGTATAATTATGATAGCAAGTTTTGAATGAATTCCTCATAGATGAGATTTGGAGTACCTTGATAACTCAAAAATAAAAGCGGTTTAGATTTTTGTCCCTCAAATCTTCGATAATTTGATATTAGTTCTCAAAATTTGATATCGCTCATATATCAAATAGGTGCACATATTTCTTAGAAAAAAAATAGGTGCCTCAATGATCAAAAATACTCCAGAGCTCATATTTCTTAGAAAAAAAAGCAAATGCTTTCGTGTTCATAAAAACATAAGCTGACATGTACTTTGGTAATTTGGGGAACAAATTACAAGATCCGTCAGGTTTGAGGGATTTTTGAGCGATTTAAAAGATTTTAGGGACTTGTATGCAAATACTGAATGTGAGACACTAATATGAAATTATTGAAGATTTGCAGGGAAGGGTTAATATGAAATTATTTAAGATTTGCGAGGAGGCACTAATCTGGAATTATTGAATATTTGCGGGACTCAATCAAGGGGGCAATTTACCTCTTCAAGGCAGCACAGAAGACACCACAAGCACACGGGTCTAACCCAAAGAGTTTATCCAACTCGTCACGTGCTCCGCACGTGCAAAGGCTCCTATCTTCGCTTCTCCGAGTCGCGGTCGAAGGCATTTCAAATGGGGGGCGCGTCGGGCCTCCGCGAGCAGCCAGCAGCGGCGAGGGAAGAACGGCGATGCCGAGTGGAACGGCGGCGATCGCCATCTCGTCCTTTAACGGGTCCACAAGACCCGACCCGATCGATTCAGCCCAAACGGGCGACGACCCGAATCCAAAACAGAAAAAGGGGACTGGCCTCAAACTCTACCAAATCAAGGTAAACCAAACACGTTCGTCAATTACTTCAATTGGTTCGCTCGAATCTGATCTACTGTAAAAAATAAAAAGACAAATTTTTTTAACGTTGATGATTCTTGAGCCCACCATCATCGTTATTGTTGTCATTTTACACTGTTCCTAGCTTTTGGAATAATTCCCATTTCGATGTAACATTGATGAGTAGTAGTTCTCTATAACAAATGTTTCTTAGTTAGTTTAGAGCAGTTCTCTACAATCAACCATGAAAAGCATGGCGATCGATGATGATTAGCCCACACACCTCATCTTTCTCGAACATGAAAATACTTTCGGTATTCACTTGCATATATCTGATTTTCTGGGTGCTCTGTTTTTGGACCTTAAATTTGACTTTTGGTTGGTCGCTGAAAAAGTTCTTAATTTCCCTATGAAGCTGTATCCGGCATGAATGTCAAAAAAAATACACATCTCCTAGTTTTTAGATTGTGGAGAAGGCTTATTTAATGTTTGGTGCATGTTTCTGATTCTTGATAAAATGTTAGTTGTCAAGGGAATAACTAATATTTTTTTACTCTAGTTGATCAGATTGGTGCGATAACATTTTGGTCATTGCACACATTTTGTTTGAAGACAAGGACAGATCATAGGCTAATATCATAAAACCCCCCTTAAGTTTGCTCGTTTACCAGATAAACCCCCTTAAGTTTAGAAATATCAGAAAACCTCCCTCAAGTTTCGCGTGTATCAGACCCCCCACCCCCCCCCCCCCCCCCTTAAGTTTGGGATCTTTTGAGCTAACCACCCTAACGGTGTTACATAAAAAAGTAAAAAGTCCAAATTTCCATTATCAAATTATCATTCTGATTATTAAGATAAACTAAATTAATTAAATATAGTTGAATTAATTATCCTAACTATCACTCTAATTAGAGCTAACTAACCACAGCTCCACAACTCTAATCAGTGGTAACGTAACTGCCGCCGCCGACCCCTACGCCAGCGCGTCGCCAGTGGCGAAGTAGTGGGCTATGATTTGGTTAAGAGGGGGTTAGGGGGTTTGTGGCATGAGGGTTGCGGGCGCAGAGGGAGAGGAAGAGAATGCAGGGAGGATGGAGGGGAAAGACGAGAGGAGGACGAGGGCGAGGAGCCAGCACTGGCGCCTCCCGTCTCCCACCGGTGGCCCTCCCTCCCCTTTCCCTCCTCTCCTCCTTCCCTCTCCCTTCATCTTCCTTTTCTCTTTTATTGTGCCCTAATCTAACCTAAGCCCAACTAGCTGCCGGAGAATACCGTTGCCGGAGGCGTTGTTTGCTGGCGATGGGTAGGGTTAGGGAAGAATAGTGACAGGGAGATATAGGAAAGGAGAGAGAGGAAGAGAGGAGGGGGCTTTTGTGAAATCGTATAATTTGGTGTGGTTTTGTGAAATTCCCTTTAAAAAACCATGAGAGGGATTTTTCAAACTTCTGGGGCGTTTAGGTCATTTTGATGCCCATGATTCAGTTAGAACTAACACCATAATTTTTTTTTTTTTTTTTTTGGGGGGGGGGTTTGTTCTGAGGAAAACTTAAGAAGGGGGGGGGGGGCGCTTATTGGTATTAAGCCCAATGATAAGTTGGTATGTTTCACAATATACATAGAGATGTCAAATTTCAGGCTTTAAAAAAAAGAAAAAATGAAAGGTTATAAACAAAATAAATAAAAGGCGAATGTTAACTTAAGGTAGCATTCATTGTCAAGTTTGAAGACTTCAATTTGATTCTATAAACCAGCAAATAACTCTTATGCTCACAAATGTCTCATTCCTCCTTTTCGTTATTCATGTACTACATTCCGAAGTTTACTGGGATGTTGAAACTTTGGTCCTTGCTTGCAGGCACTCCAATTATGAAATCAGCTCGGTAGGCCATTGTTTTAGGAAAAACTTGCTTTCCTCATTTCTCTTTGGAACGCGCCCATTTTAGTTACGTATATTTTTAGTGCATACCATGACCATCTTTAAAACCTTTAATAGGAAATGTAGCTGTTACTTGGGAAGTATCATGTAGACTACCTGACAAACCAGCAGTATATCGGTATTATATTTTTGCCAATAAACAGGAAAAACGGGAAGTGAGTTCCTTAGTAATATTTCCCAATAAACAGAAAATGAGAAGTGAGTTCCTTC